ATGGAATTTCAGTGTTGTTTTGATTTCCATTTCCCTGATAGCTGAGGATGCTGGACTCTTTTCATGTCTTTATTGGCCATGTGTATTTCTTCTTTTGAGAACTGTTTGTTCAGTTCATTTGCCCATTTATTGATTGGATTATTCTTTTGATGTTTAATTCTTTCAGTTCTTTATATATTCTGGATATTAACTTCCTGTTGGATGCATAGCTGGCAAAGATTTTCTCCTATTTGGTAGACTTTCTCTTCGCTCTGGTGACTGATTTCTTTGCTGTGCAGAAGCTTTTTAAGTTGGTGGATTTGTCAGTTCTTGCTCTTATTTCCTGGGCTATTGGCATCCTATCCAGAAAGTCATTGGCTATGCCTGTATCTTGAAATGTTTTCTTCTAGTAGTTTCACAGTTTCAGGTCTTACATTAAGGTTTTGGATGCATTTGGAATGGCTTTTTGTACAGGGTGAGAGATAGGGATCTAGTTTCAGTCTTCTGCATGTGGATATTCAGTTTTCCCAGAACCATTTGTTGAAGAGGCTCCTTCTTACAACTTATGTTTTTGGCACCTTTGTTGAGAATCAGGTTGCTATCACTGTGTGAGTTGGTTTATTTCTGGGTCCTCTATTTTATTTCAATCTTCTGTCTGTTTTTGTGCCAGAATCATGCCATTTTGTGACTGTGGCCCTGTAGTATAGTTTGAAGTCAGGTACTGTGATACTTCCAGCATTGCTGTTTTTGTCCAGGGTTGCTTTGTCTTATTTCGGGTCTTTTGTGCTTCCATGTGAATTTTAGGATTGCTTTTTCTATTTCTGTGAAGACTGTCATTGGAATTTTAATGGGGATTACATTGAATCTGCAGATTGCTTTCAGTCGTGTGGCCATTTTTATAGTATTAATTTTGCTGATCTGTGAGCATGTGTGGCTTTCTACCTTCTAGTGTCTTCTCTAATTTCCTTCTTCAGTGTTTTGTTTTCATCGTAGAGGTCTTTCAACTTGGTTAGGTTGATTCCTAGATTTTTTTTTTTTCAGGCTATTGCAAGTGAGATTGTTTTCCTGATTTCTTTCTCAGCTTGCTTGTTATTGGTAAATAGAAACACTACTGATATTTGCATGTTGGTTTTGTATCCTGCTTCTGTGTCAAAAGTGTTTATCAGATCTGAGTTTTTTGGTGAAGCCTTTAGTTTTTTAAGTAAAGGATCATATTGCCTGCAATTAGAGATAATTTGACTTCTTCCTTTCCATGTGTATGTATACCTTTTATTTTTTGTCCTTGCCTTATTGCTCTGGTTAGAATTGAAGCACCATATTGAATAAGAGTGGAGAGTGTGGACATCTTTATCTCATTCCTGATATTAGAGGAAATGTTTTTAGTTTTTTTCTACTCCAGTATAGGAGCTGGTTATAGGTTTGTCATATACAGCTTTTATTATGCTTTATTTTTAATATTTTTATTGGGATATATTCATGATATAGGAGGGGGATTCATAGTGACAATTCCGATTAGACTTATATTGTACATTATTTACATTGCCCCCATCATCTCTCCCCCTCAGCTCCCTCCCCATCCCACTTAAAGCAATTGCAAGAGGTTATTTAGTTCTGTTTCATATAGGTGTATGAAGTCCCTCTACCATATACCATCACCTTAATCTCCTTCCTTACCCCTTTCCCTCCCACTAGTACACCACTCCCCCTCCCACACTCTTCTTATTTTACAGTCCTGGTTTTCATAATTAATATTTGAGTTGATGTTCAAAGGGTGTTTCAACATATGCCCTCTGTGAGTGTGCTTTTCTTTGGTCTGTTCAGCCACTTAGAATCCCTTATATTGAGATATGAATCTTTTATTTCTAGTTTCGTCAGGGATTTTACCAGGAAAGGATGTTGAAGTTTGTTAAAGGCTTTTTCAGCATCTGTTGAGATGATTGTGTGATTTTTGTCACTGATTCTGTTTATGTGCTGTATTGTGTTTCTTGGTCTACATATGTTGAACCATCCCTGCATCCCTGGAATGAAACCAACTGGATCATGGTATATGATCTTTACGATATGTTGTTGAGTTCAGTTTGCAAGTGTCTTCTTGAGAATTTTGTGTCTATGATCATCAGGGAAATAGTTCTTTTATTTTTTTGGTCTTGGCCTTATCCAATTCTGGAGTTTTGGTATCAGGGTAATACTGGATTCATACAATGAGTTCTGAAGTATTTCTTCCCTTTGTTGTAGCAGGGGGAGGATCAGAAGAAAACAGTCTAGACCTGAGTCCAAAAAAGTAGCAGGGAGGTAGGGATGGCATAGCAGAGATAAAACCTGAGAAATCTGAACATGAGGAAGGTCACATAGCACCAGGGAGGGGAAAGTCACATAGCACTAGGATAAAGTGGCCAATAAAATTAAATATAACCATATATGTATGACCTTGCTTTTTGCTTCTGTAACCTGCTTGCAAGGGTTATAAGGTGAGACCACTTTGTTCTCGGGGCTCAGCCTTTGGACATGCGTCTGCTGAGTCTGTGCTGGCACAATAAAAAATGCTTCCTGCTAATTGCCTCAAGAGCCGTATCTCAGCTAGCAAACTCCAGCAACATTGAAGTGCATTAGTGTTAGTTCTTTAAAGGTCCGATAGAGCTAGGTGCTGGAGGCTCACGCCTGTAATCCTAGCTATGCAGGAGGCAGAGATCAGGAGGATCAAGGTTTGAAGCCATCTGGGGCTTATCTCAAAAAAACCTTTCACAAAAAAGGGCTGGTGGCTCAAAGTGTAGGCCCTGAGTTCAAGCCCCAGTACCACAAATGAATGAATGAATAAATAAATATATGTCTGATAGAATTCAGTGGTGAGTCTATTCCGTCCTGGGCTTTTTCTTGTGGGAAGATTCTTTTTTCTTGTATTTATTCATATGTGCATACATTTCCCTCTTCACCCCCGTTCCGCTCTCCTTCCCCCATCTTGTGGGAAGATTCTTAATTACTGTTCCAATCTCATTGCTCATTACAGATCGATTTACGTTGTTTATATCCTCTTGGCTCAATTTTGGTAGGTTCATGTGTCTATGAATTTATTCATTTCCACTAGATTTTCTAATTATTGTAATATATGTTTTGAAAATATTCCTCAATGAGCCTCTGGATTCAGTGGTATTGAATGTGATAGCTACCATTCTATCTCTAATTTTATTAATCAGGGACTTTTCTCTATTTATCCTGGTTAGTTTGGCTAAGCGTTTGACAATCTTGTTTATCTTTTTGAAGAACAAACTCTTCTTGTCTCAGTGGTCTTTTATGTTGTTCTTTTAGTCTCCTAAAAGAACATAAACATCTCCTGATCTTTATTATTTCTTTCCATCTACTAATCTTGGTTTTGGGGTGTAATATTAGGTTATTTATTTATTTATGGTCCTGGGGTTTGAATTCAAGGCCTTACACCAGCCCTTTTTTGTGAAAGGTTTTTTTGAGATAAGCCCCAGATGGCTTCAAACCATGATCCTCCTGATCTCTGCTTCCTGCATAGCTAGGATTATGGCATGAGCCACTTGTACTCAGCTTCATTGGATTGTTTATTTGAGATCTTTCTGATTTTTCAGTATAGGTACTCATAACTATGACTAGGGGTGTCCCCCAAGTGAAGAGAGGGGGATGCAGAGCACTGAGGTCCGCTCTGGAGGGGGAAAACCAAAGGATCCAACAGTGTGCCTGGAGATCTCAGTGCTTGCAGATCCTTCCAAGGGAAAATCTGCACCATGGGAGAGAGGAGGCTAGAAAAATCCAGACAACCACAGGATCTGGTTCAGAGCTCTCAGTCCCAGCTGGCAGAACACCACCACATGTGACAAGATGGCAGCTCCAGAGCTCATGCAATCTGCTGTCCATGGCTTGGGCTTTCAGCTATCAGTCTGCAATAATCCTCAAGCCATGAGGCTCCATCCTCACCACAGCAGGCAGGCTTCCCTCACCCCTGTGCCCTTCACTGCTGTGGGTCAACACCCGACCTTCCTCCTTCCCCACAGCTGCCTCCTGTAGCTGACTGCCTCTCAGATTCTGTGGCAGGGTGTCCCTAGGATCTCTGGTTTGTGATTGCTCCTTGTTCTCAGGTCCCCAGAGTAGCTCAGTCTGTTAGGGTACCTTCGAGGCTTGCAGCCCACTCAACCGGCCATGACTAACATGACCCAAGCCACCACAAAGGGAGGTGGGATGGTTTCTGGGAACAGGGACTGTTTCTTGTTAACCTAGCTAAACGGTATGTGAGTCAATGAGTTAAGACACCTGGTGTTTATCAAGTTCCTGATAAATAATCTTCAAGTAGTCTTGCTCCACCACCAGGATGTGGGTGATATCAGAAATATGTGACCCCAGGGGCCATAAAAATTGCTGTGTGACCATGACTAATGTCTAAAAAAATAGAAAAGCAGCCTGAACTTTGCATTCGGGGTCCTCGTTGAAACCCGCTGCGTAGGGCGGATACCCGGACCCCAGCTAGCTGGAAATATAAACCTTGCTTTGTGGCTTACATTATCGTCAGTGTCTTCTGTTCCTCTGAGGGGTGGTCAACCTTGGACCCCAACAAGTCTCAAACAGTAAGCCATCTCTCAAGACGGCACCTGGTCATAGAACTCTGATATACAGGGAGCAGCACAGTGGATTTCCTCTTGAATGCTGGCCTGCCATGCAGGTGGAGTTGAAACTGGATTATTGACCCTGATTTTGTGTCTTGGCTGATAGAACAATAATGTCACCATTTTGTAAATCGGGGGCCATTTTACTCAGGCCTCACTTGAGAAATGGAGCCCTCTGCCTCTGCCCGGCAGCTCCACCCTTAAACAGAAATTCCTGCACTCTAAGACAAGCTGCACCCTACCAGAGACTCCCGTGCATGTGCTAAGGTCCTTAACCTCCTCTTCTATAAAAGCCAGGCCTAGCTCAGAGTCTGTGCTGCGCCATCTGTCCCCGGTCAGCCTGGTGGCTCCTGCATGTCATTAAACCTTGGTCTTGGACATGAGATTTTTTTTTCTTTGCAGGTGGCATTTTCCCTAACACTGGCAAAGTTGATGATTGAAGATAGTGGATCAGGAGTTAAAGGTAAAGCAAGTCCAAAATTTATTGAAAGGATAGCAAAGCTCCCTGCATGGGAGGGGCTTAGTGAAAAAAGCTAAGCCCAGGAATGGCTGAAACTAGGAGATGACATTGGCCTCTGCCTGACTAAAGCCCTCCTAGTCTACCTTGAAACTAGTTTGTGATTGGATGTTATATAGTTGTCTTCTCCCTGAACCAGACCACTGGCTACCCCCATTCTTATTGAACTGGACATTCCAGGAGGCTCTGGTCAGCTAGTCCCGGCCTTAGGGCCCACCATTTACACATTATAGCTATCTTTTGCTTTTTGGTGAGACATTTGCTGTTCACTTTTCTGGAATGCCTGCTCCTCAGGCCACCTTAGATGTTTACTTTTGCCTTAGATGTTTACTTTTAAGGTTGCCTTTTTGTCTCCCTTATCTAAGACAAAGTCACTTCTGTTATTTGCTTCTGTTACAGAGTCACTGCCACATCAAATCCCTGTTCCTGATTTAAGACCTGTGGGCTTATCCTGTGGCTAAGACTGGCAGTGTGTTTTTCACCAGGGCAGCCTGGCTTACCATGTAGTTGTAGCTTTGAGTTCTCCACGCCTCTCCCCTCAGCCAAGGTTGGAGCTGTGGACTGTTTCCTACTTTTCTCTGTGTCACCCTTGACTTTCTCCAGGCTTTTCAGCTGTCTTGTTGTTAGTGCAACCCCCAGAGTATCCACTCTAGAGAAGGCAGAATTACAAAACCAACAATTGACAAAATGTCCGTGCCTGAACAAATGGCTAACAATGACCCACATGCTGAATCAACTATTAAGATAATGGTCCTGTGTCCCTCTTACAGAGTCCACTCCCCATGTCATGGTTGAACTGGGAAGGGCAAAGAGGATCAAATGTGCAGACCTATGACTTCTGACATCCAGACATTATTTGTACAGTCACCAGACCATTTGGGGGAAGACCCTGATTGTGCACCATTCAGTAACCCCACCCTATTGGGTAAAACCCCAAGTTCCAATAGCTGCCATGCAGTCGGTCCTCATCCAACTGCCTGCCTCACCCCGGAGGTGAAATGTCCCATTTAGGCAGTCCAGTCGCATTCAACTGTCTGCCTCATCCTTGAGGTGTTACAGGCTTTGCTAATAAATCACTTCTTACTGTCTTTCTGCACTTCGTGTCAAAGGTGCTTTTGCTGAAAAGCACTGACTCCTTTCTCGGGCCCACAAAAAACTACAAACAGGAGAAAAGTGTGGTATCTCTGTCTCCATTTGTACCTGTTGTCCTTTGCTCTGAGCCATTCTCTCCTGCAGCCACCTTGGAATCAAGGAAGGACAGGAATGATGGATAACATCTTTATTTCCAGTGACTGAAACTTCCCCTAAGGAACAGTGGAGCCTTGCAGGATACTCTTCGAAATGAGGACAACTACTTGTAATTTTGTTTGTTCATTTTTGTTTTGGGCAGCACTGGGGTTTAAACTCAGAGCCTTATGCTTGCTAGGCAGGCGCTCACATTTCCTGAGCACTCCCCAACCCAAGGACAATTACTTGTGATGATGAGGCTGTACCCTGGAGCTGGAGGAATCATCTCATGGAAACCAGATTTCTCCCCTCACGTGATGACAACTTGTCTGGAACACTTCTTAGATCACTCAGGCAGAGACAGTTTTCAACCAGACCACACCTGTGGCTGTTAACGTACATCTTTGGCCCCGCTCTCAGTTCTCTGGTGTAGTTAAACCTATAACTGATGTCTGTACCCTGAAGATGGCTGAGGATGGGCTGAGTGCTTCCTCTGCCTCTTGCATGGTGCATCCTGAGCTGTGTAATAAACCTCCATGTCTCTTTATAGTGGATGGACCTAGCATATGCAATCCTAGTAGTTTGGGCCTTGGGTCCAAAACTGTGGTCCCATTCATGGTTCTGTAAGAGGTGCTCAAACTGCTTTTGCTGAAAAGCTGAACTCCTTACTCAGGCCCCTGAATTAACTAAAAGCAGGAGAAAAGTGTGGCATCTGTCCTCCATTTTGTATCTGTCATTGCTCTAAGCTACTCTCTTTGCAGCCACTTTGCAACCACCTTGGATTCCAGAAAAGACAGATTCTGAAATCTTTATGACAAGGGAACCAAAACTACCTTCAACAGTAGCCCTTCTTCAGGAGAGACCACCCTCTAGGTAACAACTCTGGAACCTCTCCCAGAACAAGGACTGAGATAATGACCAACCAGAACACACCTGTGACTGGGACTATTTAACTATGCATGCCTTACTTCCCTCCCCCGCCCCCAGTTGTTGTGTCTATTTAAATCTGTAGCCCCTGTCTGTATCCTGAAGATGGCTGAAGATGGTCTAAGTGCTTACTCTGTCTCTTCCCATGGCTGTGTAATAAATCCCCTTTCTCTTCCTTCACCATGGCCTCTTTATTTGACATGTGGCCCGACCTGGTGTGGAATCCCAGGAGTTTAGACCTTGGTTTCAGTTCTTTTGCTGCACCTGACACAGCATTATAGTATTACAGTCTCCAGGAAGGGACTTCTGGGACACCCTGGGCACTGTAACCCTGTCAGTGCACTCTCGAATCCCAATGCCCTTCTTCTGTTTCTCTCCTTGGAATATTCCCGCTCTTTTGTTACCCTGCCTTTTTTCCTTTGAGTGTCCCATGGAGGAAGCTTGGAAGCTGCCATATTCAGTGTTGATTCTTTTTGAGAGTTTCCCAAGTAACTTTTCAGAATCATTCAGCATTTCTGGAGCAAATGCACACCTCCCCTCCCCCACACTTGTTTTCACTTGTGGAATTCAATGACAACTGTCCTTCGCACTTAGAAACAGTGACTAGAGTGAATTTCTCTCAAAGAGTCTCTTGGGAGTTAGTTAAATCACCAGGCCTGAAAACTGTCAAATGCTTGGCACAAGCATTCTCCAGCCATTCTCTGGAAACCATTTTCTTTCTTTTTTAATAATGAAAAACAATAGCAAAGTTTATTAGGAAAGGAATATATTTTCAATAGACTGAAAGTGGGTCATCTCTGGAGGAAGAAAAAGCTGAAAACCATTTTCTCCTTTTATAAGTGACCCACTTGCTTGTAGTTGGACAGACTTCCCAGAATGAAAACTACATTTCCCAGCCTCCTTTGCAATAAGCTGTATTCCTGTGACAACATTTTGTCCAATGGCTCTGAGAAGCCCAGTGGGGGACAACTACTGGGATACATTTAAAGTAGGGTCTTTTGCTTCCTTCTGTCATTTCCCCCTTTCTACTGGTTGTGTTTCTGGGGCCTTCAGTCAAATCCTGACCCTTGGGTCCTGACTGACTGGATTTGGCTGCCCACCCACATCAGAAACAAGAGAAAAACAATAAATAGGTAAAATAAATTTATTCTCAGTTAGGCCAAGCCAAGAAGTGTGCTCACCTGTCTTCCCAGAACACACAGAGTGTGACAACTTATAGGAAGAATCATTTATGTAGAACAAAAGCCAAGAAATATACATATGTAGATTTAGCCCAGCTACAGGTGTGGAGCCAGCAGAAAAGTGTGTGGTGGTACACCTCTGCAAGTTTTGTTGCTTCCTTCTGGACCAGGAACCAGAACTTTGGGGACCAGTTTTCTTCCTTCCCTTCTTTCTTTTTCCTCCCTCTCTCCCTTCCTTTTGTTGCAGGCCGGTGTTGAGAGTTCCTGCCTCCATGGGTAACAGATTGACTTGTGAGAAACAAGGTGGGCACTCAAAGTAGGATTTATTAGAGAAAAAGGAAAAGCTACCCCTAGAAACAGACAGGGAGCCCAGAAAATTGGTAGTTCACTGTTGTTTACATTGAGGGGTTTTTATTTCGTCCTTTTTGTTGAGGAGGAGAGTCAGGAGTCAGGAACGGAGTGATCGTTTGACATCTCTTCAGGAACACATGCACAGTCCTGCAAAAGCCTCCTGGTTATCAGCCTTGTAGTATTTTTGAGGCATCCTCAGGGGGCCATGATTGTGAAACCATGTGTCCCTTTACAGGATGTAGGGCTCACAGTGCTCTCATGGGGGATGGGGGCATTGACTCATTTTTGTCTTCTGATCCCCCAGACCCAATACTTTCTCTCTTCCTTTCTCCCTCCTTCCTATCTTCTTCCCTCCTTTCTTCCTTCCTCCTTCCTTCCTTCCATCCTTCCTTCCTTTTTTTCTCTTCCTTTCTCTTTTTATTTTTATTTTTTGACACAGTGTCTCCCTATGGTAGACCAGGCTAGACTTGAACTTGTTTCAGCCTCCTGGATGCTGGGATTACAAATGTGTGTCATCATGTCAACATAATTTTTGTTTGTTTAGTTTTGTGGTGCTAGAGAGGCAACCCAAGACCTTGTGCATTCTAGGTAAGTATTCTATCATAGAGTTACCTATGCCCTACCTCAGTGGGGGAAGCAGCAATTTTTATTTAGCTTCTGTTCTCAGCATGAGATGATTGCCTCTAGGAAGCTGGAGAGAGATAGCTTAAGAACAGTTTAATGGGACAATGTCTTCTTTAAATTCCTAATTTTATTTTAATTAATTAAATTTTGCAGTTCTGAGAATTTAACCCAGGGCCTCATGCATGCTAGGCAAGTGCTCTCCCATTGAACTACATCCACAGCCTAAGTAAGGTCCTAATTTATTTTTTGGTGGTGGTACTGGGGTTTGAACTCAGGGTCTCATGTTTGCTAGACAGGTGCTCTGCCACTTGAGCCACTCCATCACCCTTTTTTTGTGTTGGGTGTTTTCAAGATAGGGTCTCACAAACTAATTGCCCAGTCTGGTTTTGATCCAAGATCCTCCTGATCTCTGCATCCTGAGTAGCTAGGATTACAGGTGTGAGTCATTGGTGCCTGGCCTAAGTTCCTAATTTTAAAAGGATCTTGGTTACAGTAGGAATGTGGACCTTGGACTATGGGACCAAGAACAGCACCTCAGAGATGAAGGCACAATGTGATAAGACTACCCAGGATGTTGATAGTGTTGCAAAGCAGAAACTCCAAAAATACTTGGACTTTTTTGGGGAGAGAGACATA